CATTGGCAAGAAGGATCCTTTAAAATGTTAGCTCGAAAAAGGTCAAAGTTTAAGAATGAAGCGGAGATTCGCGACTGCATGGGTTAAGATAATATTTAATTTCCTCGGGCCGTACAAATAAAACATTTCAACTTTACTTAGTAGATTATCGTTTTTCAATTCTTTCTTAAATTTAGAAATATAGTCGACGCTGCGAATTTGTCGATCAAGATTATTCCACTCACGTATTGTGGAGGGAATAAACGATTCAGTAGTAAGGGAAAGTCTACAAAGTGGAACAATAATATCATGACCATTTCGTAACTGATAGTTGGTTGTACTTTGTACACATGGAGGTACAAGATTACATAGGTACTATGGTGCATGTTTTGGTTCATGTTATAAAACATCTGTAATGTTCTTATCCTTCTTCTTTCAAAAAGAGATTCCCAGCCAACCTCAGAGTATAAGGTTTCAGTTTTAGTGAATATTGGTAGACCGGTTACAATCCTTGCGGCCTCTAATTGAAAATTTTCTAATTTATGTGAATAGCATATTCCTCAGTTATCCCACACTTCCGTGGCATATTAAAAAATTGGTCGAATAAAAACTAAGTACAGTTTTTCTAAATTTTTTCCAGATAGTCTGTATTTAAGTTTACGCAAAGCATTTAAGTGTTTCTTTACACTTGTAATTATACTTTCAATATGATTGTTCCATTTTGCGTCACTACTGAAATTAACCCCCAGGTGCTTATGAGATGCACTTAAAGGGATGTTTTTACCATTTAAGGAAAAGCTGAGGTGAAAATCATTAATCGAAAAAATTACTATGCCATGGAATAAAACGTAAAACGATCATTAGACAAACAGCAGTATCCAAACACAACATAGAAAACCAAACACTGAGCAACACAACCCCACCAAAAAAGGTAAGTGATAATAGGTTCCCCGGAAAGATTCGCAGAGTCTACTTCACATGTGACACACGTCCTATTTCTCCTTTATTGTATGCTTATATAATACACCACGTGATAAGGTATCACGCAATAGCGGATTGGTTATTGACTCTTATCTAACACTAAGACAACGCCAAATCCGTAAACCAATTTCTGTTTCTATGCATCGGTTATTGAAAATTCCATGAATCTCTTACTTCAATGAAATTCGTTTTGAAACACAGGAAAACATTGTCTGTCTTGGTAACAGTACTGATCAAAATACGGACCACTCATTGATTAAACAACCTTCGAAAAATGGCTTGAACTAAGAACAACATGTTTAATAACAAGAAGCATGATAAACCGAGGAATTGGATTAGAAGGATTGAAAGTTGAAAAAAAAAACCAAAAACAAAAACAAAAACCTTTCAGACACAAAAAAAAAAAACAACCACAAACAAGGGAAACACCTAAAGAATTGCAAAAAATATGTGATCATTGCATCGTTTACGAAATTCATGCAGTATCTACGTCAGTTCTAGCCAAATTATATTTACATGCATTTCGACCTGAATTGCTTTTTTATGAAGAGGTTTGTTACATAAAGAGAGTAGCAGATAAACATGTCTTGGCAGTGAGCCCAGACGAAAGTGCATGTTCGAAACAAAAAATCCACGAACATTTATTTTCTTTGGTGTAGAAATTAATTGATCGCTCCCTGACAAACTGGGTTCAACTACAGTACATCACAGTTTACCAAAGTTTTTTTTTATGGCATCGATACATTCCATGACAATTCATTTATCCAAAATTGACGAGGAATTTTGGAATGACATATCTTGTGAGATTAAAACAGTTAATCAAATAGAAACCATAAGCTACTGAATGCATCATTACCAGACCTTTAGGAAAGTATAATTGCAGTATTGTCTTCAAGAAGTGAGTCTTGAGGCGGAGATAAAGTCGTAAACTGCTTTATCATGCCAAACGTAACCAAGCATTACTCATAGATTTACCATGAACCTGAAAGTGCTAAAGTAGAGAAAAACGGGTGTGGTAATAAAAGGCAAAAATAATTAACGAGAATTGGAAAAACATGTTTTCAATGCGAAAAAATTATGAATATAAGCCATTATACGTTTATCAAAAGAGAAAATTAAGTATTTGTGTTTGCAGATCAAGATCAAAGGTGTTTTTAACTTAAACTACCACATGCTTTTCCAATCTCATCCGAACTAAAAGGCTACAGTATGAAGACAGAAGCGATGGGTAGAATGATTCACGTTGTTCTTTATAAACCCTACCTGAAAGGACTGTCATACCAGTTGTATCACATGATGGTCAGTGGGCTTGATTAGTATTCCAGTTATCACCAGGAGATTCGCTTACAGTTTTTGAGTTAGAGTAATATTTTTTGATATGGTAAAAAAAAAAGGTGCAAGCACTCTAAATAAAGATATTTTTTGTGGAAGCAACATCATTTTATTAAAGGAAAGTCGTGAAACCTAATCAAATGGAACCCATTAAAATGTATAGCTCTGTTTCTTTACAAATGAAAGCTTGTGATCATATTTCGTCGATCTTGTTTCGTCAAATTTGGTATCTGTATTGAATACTTTTATATCAACTTCCAGACTTCCATGATGTTTTGGTATTTATCCATCCGGCTTCCAAATATTTGACTTTGGGTATTCCTGCTGAATGTAAATCCAGAACAGGCAAATTCAAAAGTGGACGATTTTATTAGTGAAGACAACGATGTAGACAAGCATTCCATCGGGTGTAATGTCTGTGTTAGATGATGATGAACATCCCTAAAAAACTACAGCAAGAACTGCAATGTTTTAAATAGTAATTGTTAATAAAAGTGTTAATTAACCAAGCACTCGGGGTAAATGAGGAAGTACACGACGAAACAGAACACGTGACAAATACACAAGGAGCACACAATGAAATACGAACAGAGGGTTTAGAACAAATGGACCCTTCACACGAAATATCCTTAAATTAGAAACAGGACTCCTAACAGACAATTATAGGCAAAGATGATGCACATGAGATATTTGAATATTTACAACAAAAAATCAAAAGCCCCCAACAAGTGGCTAAAGTCTACGTTCCTAGAATTCAAAAAGTTGGCAATAGACAAATTCCCTATGACAAGACGAATATGTTTGCGAGGACATTGGGTAGTTTGGAGATAGATTTTTGTTTTGCAATTTCAAAGATCTTTTTCCCAAAACAATTCGGGTGTGGTCAAGGCTGAAGAAGTTCCAGATGCAAATGAACCTGCTTGTCAATTACTGAATTCTCGTCTTACGTTGACGTCCCTTCAAAACAACAATTTCGAGAGCAAATTAAAATATATTCAGCAAAAGACTTGACGTCAGTGTGGAAAGAAGACTAATTAATCTCATGCATGTCATGTGTCCACAACGTTAACAAGCTGCATTAAATTTTGATAAAGTTCCAATTAGGTACAAACCTTCACTTATAACACCGGAAGGCAGATATTTTGAAGTATCCGCGTTCATAGTACATTCTATAAGTATTTTTATCCATTTTGCACATTTAAGTAAATAAAATATGTTTAAACTGATAAGCAAATAAAATATGTTTAAACTAATAAGCAATTTCAATAATGTTTATTTTAGGGACCATATGTTTGACATCAAAAAGAAAAGGACAAAGAAAATGAGCAATTTTAGAACTTGATTTTGCAGCTAAGGGGTAGCCCCTGTTCTACAATTCCTAAACGTTGACGAAGGCAAAAATTTACCACACAAGACTTTAACTACAATTGCAAAATTGAAAAGTATTTTCACGTTGTAGCTAACAATATATATTCATAATTAATTATAAAGTAGTTGTTTTGTCCATGTTAAATACCCTCCTTATGCAATTATAAGTTCAGGAAGCTTAAAGAGTTAATATGAATTTTTGGACACCAGGCGGCTTCTGACAAATGTTTTGATTTTTCACATTTTTGTCTTCTTTAAATCAGCTGGCTGTCATAACATTAACACTACCAAATGTTCATACAAGAGGTATTATTTTGTTCTAACAGGTATATTTACAACCATCTGAAAATGTGTAAAAACAAGTGTTTTAAACCACAACTTGTTTCAAGACAAAGTCTTGAAATCAGCAGATTTTACATGATGAAAACAACAGTATTCATGTTAATAGAAACAAACAATTCAAAATAGCGGTATTATTGTTGCATCTAATTGAAGTGCAAATATGCATACAGGATATCTCGCAAGATACACCACAAAATAACAATGTATATGAAAAATAATTTATAAAATAACAACAACAAAAAAATATATATAAAAGTATAAAAATATAAAATCTCTATAATCTGAGGCAAATTTTATAATTGCGAGATTGCAGTTCAGCTGCAGTTTACACCGATAAATCTACTATCAAATGTGCAGATTTAATAAATTCACCACTATTCACTCATTTAAAATGGAAATTGTAATATTTTGTGACTTTGTTTTACGTTGCAGATATGTATTGGTTGTGAAAAGAATGTTTGAAAACAATGATTCCAACTCTTTCAACTGACAAAAATATCAGGTTTTGATGATCGTTTCTGTTGTTCATCGAGTTTCTACTGATCTATTAAAGGATTCGAGATAATAGACAAACATTTATAAAAGTGCTTGGGAGTACTAGATGAATAAATTTGTTATCATTTTGCAGTGGGAACTATAAATTAAACATTGTTTCGTATTAAGCATTTGAAGGCAGTGCTATAAATTGGTAAAATCTTCATTTGTCCAATATTGGATTTGGGTTAATCTACAATTATGGACAAAGGAATAAAACTCCAATTTTGAATGTTACTATTATAGTGACATTATTTACTGTAAATTCAGAAATTATTGCGATGTTTTTATTATTGCGAAAAATGCGACAGGGTTGTAATCGCAATAATTTAAACTCGCATTTTGGATTTCTTTATATGAATGAAGCGGGATTTTTCTCAGAATCGCAAAAATAATAATCGCATTTTGGTCTGAAATAACAAAATCGCAAACATAAATGCACGCAATAATTTCTGAATTTACAGTATACATTCTAGAGCATATAGATTCAAGCACCAGGCACAACTTATGTTTATAAACAGAAACAACATTTTGTAACTTCAATATATTCTACTGATAAATTTCTTCAAACGTACATGGATATGATGTATAGAATATTGTGGTCTTACACTATTTTTCGTTTGCTCTTAAATGTAGAGATAAGGTCTAGAAACTATCAAGGCAGTCCCACTAGGATTTTAATCGCATCAATGCAATCTGTTCCCTTCAACAAGTTTCAGGAATTGTCATTTAACATATTTAAGGGCATACATTATATAAAAGGAGTTATTCCGATGGTTTCAATATTCATTATTTTAGGGCAATACATTATAAAGAAAAACTATCCAATGCTGTTGGTTGTAAGGGGACTATTGTAGATCTTGTTTTGGTGTTAATTTTTGCTGTTTATAAAAGTTCTACATATCTACTATAGTTTTCTAAATAATAAGAAAAAGTAGGAAAATGAGTAAAACATTTGGCTGTAAAGGGCAATAACTCCTATGAGGTGTGATCCAGTAGTTTTGTTCATTTTTGGCATTATTGTGGATCTTGTATTGAAGTTTTTCATATAAAGCAATTATAATTGTAACTATCACATACAAAAAGAATAATATGTCAATGACTGCTCCAAAAATTTGGCAAATATTAAGCAATTAATACTTGAATTCCTATTTGATAATGTTTTACTTCGACATCCTTTTGTTTTTCATTGATTTAAAATACTACAGATTTTTTATTTTTTTCAAATATCACAATATTACAATTTCCTTGTGGCCTACTGAAAACTTTTCGGCACAGTCCTATCACTTGTTTGTCTTCTTGATTATTTTTACCTCCGTTTCTTAGATATCAAATCATAGGTATTAATGGCAAAATAGGGATTCGATCTGCCGTAAATGAAACAATACCAAATATTTCAAACAGCAATGAACCACCTAAATATCAGATGTAAATACAATTGTTCTAGAACTACCACAACAGAGTGTATAATCACTGAAAAAAGGCAATATAAAGAAACAACTGTTTTGTCTTCTTAATTAAATATACTAGATGTTGAAAATATTCTTAATGATCTAAATTACATTTCACAGTTGACTTTCAGTTTTGCTGATGGAATTGTCTTTGCCACTTATGTAACAATCTTGTTAACCAGCATAAGACATCTACTCATGTATCAAACCACAATAATTGCAGAGCAAGCAATCAACAAATTTTGTAAACTGTATATCAATCTTCCATTATCATGATTACAAAATCAGTTGTTCTTTGCAATAATCTAATATCAATTCAGAACTCAGGAACTTAAAGGAAAATCTCATTTTCCGTGATACCGCTTTCCATGTCTTTTTTTCTTCTGTACTGTTTTGTTTTGTATACTAAATCTACAAACAGATAAAACAAAGAAATTCTTATATATATTCTTATATATAAGAGTAAACCAACAATTTAGGCAAAATTATAATCATTTACAGATCATGTCTTGCTGATCATATTTGCTATTTAAAGTATTTATATATATATAGAAGTCACTCCTAACTATCCTACTACCTGTCGATACATTTATTTTTGGCATTGCACAAGTCATGTCTTCTTTGACTGTTCATGACGTTAAAATACTAAATCCCTGGGATGTATTTTAGTTGATTTTAGTCTCTGATGCATGATTTTTTATTATTAGTTGTTTTGGCTTTAAACTAGCTGTCAGTAACTGCGAGTACTCTCAAATCGTACTTTCTTTTTAATTTGACCTGTTGATACTATTTGTAATGCTTTTTTGTTATTTAATGTTAACATGGATCTTGTCTATATACCAGCTTTGATTATTTGGTATTACTACAAATTTTCACTTCTTCGTACTATGAACATCAAAATTATTTCATTTTTCCTTAGATGCTGTTCTTGGACCTGTACAGGAAGTTTCATCTAGCACTAATTGTATAGTTTTATTGTTGATATTCACCCCATATGTACCAAGTGTTAGATTAGTTTTATTGATATTAAAGAAATTTCTTGGTATTCCTAAACGGAAGATTTTATACACACAGAAGAAGAAGTATACTTAACAACAAAATTATTTTCATTTACCTGTGTATAATATGACGCAGGTTTCTTCAAAAGTGATGATTTTCACAGTGATATCATACTTTAACTTTGTTTAAACCTATTTATTTACTTTTGACTTTAATTATGTATGCCTTGTAATTTTTTATTAACTGTGTATTTGCATTCAGGTGTCACAGGTCAAATTTATTCGTTCATTGTGTGTTAATTTGCGTTTTTCGATCGAGTTAAGCCTTCCAATTGATATTTTATAGTGTGTTTTTCTATGTTGTGATTTTATACTATTGTTTCAGAAAAGGGAGAAGGTTTGGTACCGTTAAAACGTTTAATCCCGCTGCAAATGTTTGCACCTGTCCTACGTCAGGAATCTGATTACAGTAGTTGTAGTCTGTTTATGTAGTTCATACGTGTTTCTCGTTTTGTTGATTAGACCGTTGGTTTTTCCGTTTGAATGGTTTTACATTAGTAATTTTTTGGTGCCCTTTATAGCTTGCTGTTCGGTGTGAGCCTATGCTCAGTGTTGAAGGCCGTACCTTGACCTATAATGGTTTACTTTTATAAATTGTAACTTGGATGGAGAGTTGTCTTATTGGCACTCATACCACATCTTCCTATATATATCTGTTATCATCTAAATAAGATAAAAGGTAAAAATGTAAAATATTGGTAAAAATCGTCATTAAAGAGCAAGTACACCTACAAGGAGTCGATTGATAATTTCAATTCTTATTCATATTTCGCCTTCGGTCTCAAGTAATGAATTAGCTTAACTTCTCTATGAGGGGTGAAGCTTACATGTAATATCTCAGTTTAAAGAAACAAACTATAACCACCAGACCATAGATGGCCAGTGGCCTTGACCCTAGTATATAAGCACCTGTTCCATAATAACTTGTCATTATTTTTCTAGAGGGTGTGAAGTGAACACAACACTTCACTTGAATTCTGTTTAGTTATTTTATTTTTTATCTAAGATTTAGGGGAAAGTTACTTCAATTACATTTAACTTGTCTACGATGTACGACAAGTGCTAATGTTAATATGTTAATTAGACATAATAATTTCTCAATAATTTGTCTACGATGTATGACAAGTGTTGATGGAAATGAATTAAAAATTTCTTGTCTACGATGTATGACAAGTGTTGATGGAAATGAATTAAAAATTTTTTATTGTCTACGATGTATGACAATTTTATATATTCATTAAGTTTTTGCCTACGATGTAAGGCACATGTGTTACTTAATTCATTAACTCCTGTTTGTTAAACAGGTAGATATTTAAAAGTATTTCTTTTTACATGAAGGTCGTGAGTACTCTTCAGAATTAGCACGTGTTTTACCTGTACATGTACACATTATTTTATTACAATGACTGAATTTGATAATGCAGATGTATTGCCTTAGCAAGATGTTTAGAATGATGTTAACACTAATGAGGGTGATGGCTTTGATTATCATCACCTCTGGGTTGTTTTAGAAATTAAAGATGATAAATTTAATAGGAAAACTAGAGGTATTTTGAATAAATCCTCTTCTTAAACAGTTATAGAACCTAGTAGTTTTATAAAAAATCATAAAAGGCATTGCAATTGGAAATGAATGACAAGTGACAAAGCAACAAAACCTGTCAAAAGGAAGTTTTAAAATCTAGTGCTACTGGTATAGCTTCAAAATAATCTAGATTTGTGAATATTTCTCAAGAGGAGATAGCACACTTGAGATTTAAAATAGGCATGTAGATTGATACATTGACTCATTATTATTAAATGTAGTAAAGAGCCTGTGTATGTTTGAGACAGTTTCTCTGCCTTCCACTCAAGCAGAGGTTGTAGAGAACCCTGCTGCTTTATTCCATTTTTTGCCATTAGAGGCTTACTTTAATGAAGATTAAGATCTAGATTTTGATCTGAACTACTGTAATGATACAGTGCATGTACCTCCTTTTGGAGTTTGTGCCATGGCTGATGATAGTTCAGCCAGAGCTGAATTTGATACTTCGTTTGATCCTGCAGCTTGTGGCTAACCAGCATTTGAAGTAGGACCATTTATCATTTGTTTAGATGTAATTTATAGGGATGATTATCTATATATATATAGCTAACATCCATAGATCTCACAGATGCATATTTTAATATCAATAATGTTTATATCAAAAATTCCTGATTCATGTGGAAAGGACATTATATGATATTTATGTTCTTTGTTTTTTGGATTGGCTTCTGCATAAAGAGTTTTTACTAAGGCTTTTAAACCTGTCTACGCATTTTTATGAAAAAATGTCACTTGAAGTATATACATGATAAAGTTACATTGATGATTCTATTATTATGGATCAGAATCTAGATAGTTGTACTGTGAATACAGAAAAAATGGTGCAAATGCTTGATAAACTGTGCTTCAGAATAAATTTTAAGAAGTCGGTCCTCATTCCTTGGAAACACATTGTTTTCCTTTGTCTCATTATTGATACTGAGTTATTTAAGTTTTTTCTGACATGAGAAAATAGTAAAATTATCTCCCTTGGGAAGTTCTTCTTAAATAGAATTGTGTAACTGTATTATAGATGCTTTGCATCATATATTGGTCTTGTTGCGCATGCTTTTAATGCGGTATCTGTGGGAATGTTACATTGCAGAAACATGGCGAGAAATAATGTTGAAGCACTGAATAGTTGTTACAGTGATTATTTTCATCAATAGGTGAAATTTTAACAATTTAAAATCAGAAATTGAAAATTGATAAGACCCATCCAAATAAGTTTTTGGATTGGACCAGATGCCTCATCAGAAGGATTTGGGATCCAAATTTGAAGAAAAATTTTCTGTTGGTAGATGGAGCTTCTCGGAACGTAGGCTCATTTCATATAGATTACTTAGAATTGTTGGCTATATTTTTCTTTTGGAGAGAAATTTTTAGTCACAGAGTCTTGTTAATTGTTATACAATCAGAAATTACATTTTCAGTAGCTTTTATTATGCAATAGGAGGTATAACCTCTTTGTCAGTTGACAGGCTTACTACAAATATTTCATTATTTGGGCTTGGTGTTCAAGAAAGGACATTTTTATTACAGCTCATTATATTCCTGGAAAGAAAATTTTGATGCTTATCATATGTCTAGAAATTTTACAAATTCAACAAAATGGCAATTGAAAGAAGAAATATTTGTTTTGTTTTTATCACGTTTTCATTTTCAAATCTGTAGATAATTGTTTCTCTGTCTTTTGACCAACAAGCTCCTTTCAGAGATGTTTTTACTTTTCATGGTCAGAATTAAGACCTTATATTTTCCCATCTTTTTCCTTGTTGGGGATAATTATAAATAATTTATTAGTGAAGTTCAGAAGGCTATTTTTATTATTCCTTTTTGGTTTTCTTTGCTAAGACCTTTTTAATTTATTTGCCAGTTAAACTGCTAAGCATAAAATTAGTAACGATGTTGCATACTGAAGAATGCCTTCCCCTCAGGAAGAGACTAAATTTAACTGTGTGTATTGTAAAAATATAAGTGTACCAACACCTGAAGTGGTGATTGTGCGGTAGGGTAAAAACATGTGTATTGTATTCAGAAATCACTTATAAATAGAAGATTTCAGAATCATTTGCAAAATATGTTTACACTTCATCTTGGAGACCATGCATCTATGATCAAGGAATATCAATAATTTTTGAGAAATTTCATTATTTGGTGTGTTCAAAGGAGAACCAATTCCTTATCACCATCTGAAAAGGATGTTATTGATTATAACATATTTTACTTGGTCTATGTTGAAACAGACTTGATCCTTTATGAAGTAGATGTTACTAAATTTGTTTGTTTACTATATGTGAAGGGTTGCTTAAACCTGAATCTGCAATTGAAGAGTTAGATACTCTTTCACTTGGGAGGTGAATTTAGTGGTAAGTTCTTTATATTCATTGGAGGATTTAACATTGAAGACTGTCTTTTATACTTGTGTCTTTATTTGCCTTGACTACAGCTGCCAAAGTAAAATCTTTATCAGCTCTAGATTTACATTCTATGTCTTTCATTCAGAGACAAGGCAATTTATTTTTTCATATACATGAGCTTTTGAAAAATACTAGATCTGTTAGTTAGTCTACCTAATGAGGTGTTCAAGGGTTTTGATAAACCAAAACTTTGTGTTGTTAAGACAATGATTTATTATGTTTTGTGTACAAAATATGTGAGGAATTCATCTAAGTCTGTTTATTTTTTATGGAACTTTTCGTAAAGTTTAGATAGTTAGAGAGAGTTCTAATTTTAGCTGACGTTTTAAGGTTCACTCATTTAGAGGAACCTCTTCATAAGTGCCTTTA